AGTTTGAAGTTTGTTGTTTGTTGGATTTTTCTTTTCTACTTTTTCTTTTTTAAAAAAGACGTTATTGGAAAGCACAAGCAAAAACGAAAGGCTGAGAGAGAAAGGTACCGTACCTGTAATACTGTGTTGTGAAATTTTACACCAATTTTTAGCTGACTGCGATAGATCTAACCTTGCCAAGGGCAAAGCTGCATGATTTTTCGTTTGTGTCGATCTGTAGACTGTGCTGAACGTGGCGGCAAGCAAGTCACAATCATGAACAAAAGAAACGTTAAGTCTGTAGCTTTAAGCCCGTTGATTGATTTTTTTTCTCAGTCATAATTGAATGTAATATAAATTTTACGTCGTCCTTGGGGAAAATATCGTATATATGAGCGCTATATAGTTGTTAAACGCTTAAAACGAGCCAACGCGCCCGGGGGGGGGGGGTACTCCCATACATTACCTATACGGGTATGTGCCGCCCAAAGGGGTCGTGATTTTGAAGCTCCTGATTTAGAACGGGGTATCCATTTCAGAGGCGTTTTCTAGAACGGGGTATAAAATTTCGAACGCACGAAACCTCCACTTTTGTAAGCAGCCATTTGAAAGTATTCAAGTACAGATTGCTTTTAAAAATATGGTTCAATGCGTTAACAAGCAAACTGTTGTACTCTTGTTGCACCCTAGAATGGAGTATAAAAAATTGGCCCATTTCTAGAACGGGGTATCAGTTTTAGGGGAAATACTAGAACGGGGTATAAAAAATTGGCCCATTTTTAGAACGGGGTATCAATTTTAGGGGAAATTTTTATCTAGAACGGGGTGCCAATTTGGAGTCCCGGGCGGCACATACCCACCCAAAAAATACCCAATTGCCCCCCCGGGCCAACGCGTTAGAAACGCGCAAGTCAGTCTCTCGATCTCTCAGTCATCTCAGACTCGATCGAGGGTCAAACTGACTTTTCATGTTTTCTGGTTCTACAGTTGTGATTAGGCCTCGTTCACATTGAGGTCGCTTTTGGAAATTAGACCGATGTGAGATTGGTTTAGCCCGTATTTTTTTCTTTGAAATGGATCCTAGAGCCCCCTAGAACGCGCTATTAAATATGAAACAAAACTCGCGGGGGATTTCATAATCTCATACTCAGATCTCTTACTTGTTGATAAAGCCAAAGGTGAGATCTGGTCAAATCCGATTTTGTACCCGTGATTGCCTGTCAGGAATGTGACAGGCCATGAAAGACCGCATGCTTGAAATTAATCCTCAATTTTTGACGTGTTTAACAACGAATTTGATAGAGCCGTGAAGTTTTTTCTATCAAAACGTGGTTATGCGCACATCTTAAGTATGAACAAACTAATTTTTGTGTTCTTTTTTATCTTTTTAACATCAAATTCAACGCGACAACCAGGGCCAGATCTCGCCTTTGGCTTCGTCAACAAGAGATCTGGGTACGAGATTAGGGATTTCATTGACCTCTAGGGCGAGGGGGGAGGGGGTGGTTTTTCTCTCGCATGCTGTCCAGCAAGGATGTTTGCGTAGCGTAAGTCAACGAAGAACAAACAAGTTCAACTCTACAGTTTTGACTGAACGCAGGCAAATCAGGCTATCTTTGACTACGTTTTGAGCCGTTTTGTCTACTAAGCCACTTTTTGAACTCAATTTAAATGGTTCAGCAACGACTAGACCAAGTAACTGATAGTTTTGGGCTTGCAGACTGTCAAGAGTTAGTTAACTTTTTTTCTTTATTTCGACCAGTCAAAAACGTCGAGACGTGACAGCGTAAAAATATGTTTGGTGGATCAACTTGGTCCGGCCTCTGTCTGAATTTTTTTTTAAGCCATGCTATCATTCTTAGACAATTATGTGACACAGTCAACTTTAGTCACTTTAGGGCCGCGCTGACCGGGACACCACCTTTGTCAGCTTGAAGTCCAATTTAATCTTCTGTAGTGCTCTTTTTAACTGTCAATCTTTTACTGAGTATATATGCTTATCCCATCGTAGGAGAAGTGTCTTTTATTGTATTTGGCTAAAATTCGTGTCTTACGAGTCATATGAGAAAGTGTGAAAGCAATTCAGTTAGGAAGTGATATCTAATGCGCGTGTTCTACAGCTTACTGTGTCTCTATAAATGAAAGTTTAACAAAAGAGGCAGTAACCGAATTTAGTTTTTTGCGCTATGACTATGATTCCAATAAAAAGTAGAAAGAGAAGGAAAAAAATGTCCAAAAACATGTTAAGAAACCAAGCTTTACATTGTGATAGTTTGGAGGTGATTAGCGATTGGCGGCTTTTAACGCTTTGTTCAGTTCTATTTCTTCGAAATACTGTTTTAATGTTCCAAAAGAATTTGCAAACATGTTTCGACGTAGCCTGTTCCAGGCGTTCGGACAGGACAAGGAAAACAACGAATGTAACAACAAACAAACAAAATGAACCTTCTATCATTTTATTGATGGATAGCAAAAGACTTGATTAACCTTCGCTGGTTTTTTGATATGGCATAGATTGGAAAAATTGATTTGGAGTTACACACGAACTTTGTTAGGCCGTTTTCTTGCAAATTGCAGCTCGATTTTCCCTGGCAATGACTGTACCTTTTCCCAATACTTTATTATGCAGCAATCGAATAAATAAAAGTGAATATTTAGGAATGATTTGCAAGAGTTCTTTTGTTTCTGCTAATTAGGCATTTTTCTATCTACATGACTGAAAATAGAGTTCGCAAAAATAGAGTAAGTGAAAAATAGTCCTGAGGTCAGTCTCACTCTCTACTAATCACTAAACCAGCTCCTCGATCCTCGATCCCTGATCATATGGAGATTTGGACTAGATTACTCGAAGGACAAAAATTAAAATTGCGATGTCGGTGTTTCGCCACGTTTTTTTGCGGTGATGCGATTTTGTTATTTTTTTCCGCGGTGTTGCGGTGTGGATAGTCACCCAATGTCCCCCTCTTTATTATACCTTAAACCCTTACGGAACAGTAAAACATTTCTTCACGTAATTTATAAATCGAAAAAGAAAACAAACTTGTTATGCATCAAAAACAACGTCTTTCAATATAGTAAGATTCGAACACGAAAACGAAATGCGACGAAAAGCATTAAAACAGAAAAAAAATTTGGAATCCAGCCCTTTTTGGAATCCGGAATCCACTGAGCTGGAATCCGGAATCCAGTACTCGGAATCCGGAATCTACAGGGTGGAATCCAGAATCCAAGACTGTCATGGATTCCCTTACATGGGGAGAGTCAAAACTAGCCACCAAAAGGAAAAACAACGTGCTATTGCCATTAACTGCAATTTATACCCCGTGTAAAACGGAAAAGTCAGAGGCTACAATTTAAGAATAATACAAGAACATTTTCAGCCAAAAATCGGCAGACAAGTAAGAATATTCAGCCTGGGCTGGAGTTTTCTAATGATTGATACTCCTGCTAAATCGTGTTCTGTAGAAGATCATTCAGTGGCATGCGTTCCGCAGATCGCTAACGTAACTTACCTCCGCAGTACCATCGGGCAACAACCTGTCAGTAACATTCTACTTGATAACATTAGACTCTGTAGTCAACAATGACGTGGATCGTATCACTGATATCTTCCGCTGTCGAAATGGCAGAGATAGCCGTTGTGGCGTGGAGTGGGATACAGCGTGTAGACCCACAGACGATCCATTTTGAGCTTTATTGTCACCCGGTGCGCAGGAGCCAGTTCAACCCCCAAATAATATTTGTTTAGTTTAGGCAGCTAAAAAAATATATTTTGGACATTCACCCAGAAAAGATAATCATCCCGGCCCCCTTCCACAGCAAGGCTTTTGTACTTCTTTACAAATTGGAGACGAGCTGGGCGTTACTTGCAGGCAGACTAAGCAGAGGGTTTTTTTGCCATCTAAGGGGCCTCTAATTTTAAACATTCGCTTTTCATGACCCTTTCTGGACTTGGCTTGCTAACTATTTGAGAGCTTCCTCGTCGAGTCTCCTATTTCGTATCTATCCTTCTTTACAACTATTTTAGCTGCTTTATTCAGGAATTTTGGTCTTCCCCCTTCGTTTCTTTCCTTCAAAACCTTCATTTCTTCATGATCAGTTCACCATCCAACATTCGGATTTTTCAGTTTTTGAACAGTTTCTGCAACAGATAAACCAGTAAATCGAAGCATACATGCTTATGCTTTCACGTAGCTAAACGTTTTTGCATTAAGGGGGTTTCTCTTTCGTGATATTCACAAAAAACAAGGAAGGAGTTCGAGTAATTCGGGCTATAAAATACAAATAATACGTGGTTGGAAAAAATACTCCCGCATGCGCACCTTTGGAATGGAAGAACACAAATAGAATGTTCGATTCAACAGATGGCATAACAAGTATGAAAATAGTGAATTATATTGAAAGAAAACTTTTGTTTAAATGATTTACTTACCAAGTTTAATCATACTAAAATACATACTTATAAAGGAGAGGAACGACCTTCTGGGACACCCTGTAGATTCATACCTTGGTTGTGGTTCCATGATTGTAATATTTTTCCTCCCTGTCATAACCCAGCTTTCCAAATAATTAGGTCTCAATGAATCACCTGCGCCACGTTGTCGTGCCTCTAACATCGATATTGTTTTTGAGCAAGTTTTTTTGCATTCCTATACAATATGGCTTGTGTAATCACCTTCTCCACACATTCTGCACTTTGCAGACACATTTTGCTTGTCGATTACCCTCTTGATACTATTAGTTCTTAATCCCTGGTCTTGTGCTGTCATAATCATACCCTCCGTCTCCTTCTTTAGTCTTCTTTAGTTCTTCTGTCACTGCTCTACAATTGATTGCTTGGACCATAGCTCCACCGTTCAGTTTAGACTATAATATTTTTCGTACACAACGGAAGTATTCCTTCTCAATTCTGCGTTTCATCTCGGTGTGTTTGATTTCATCTCCTTCAAGCACCGCTAGGTATTTATAAGCATCCACATTACTATCATCATCATCATCATCATCATCATCATCATCATCATCATCATCAGTATTGTGAGGAGAAGGTTCGTGCATGGAAAGAGGAAATCGAACGTCTCTCTGAAATAGCGAAGAGCCAGCCCCATGCGGCGTATATTGCTTTCACAAAAGGCTACAAGTCGAAGTTCACCTACTTCATGCGCACGATTGAATCGTTTGAAGTTTATGTCGATCCAATCCTGGAAGTGATTGAAGATTTACTACTCCCAACTTTGTTCGGTCAATCAGAGCCTCTCCCTAACGAGGTGCGCAGACTTGCTACCCTAGCAACAGGTCAAGGGGGTCTAGGCATTCCTGATCTGAAATCCGAGGCACCGCAGCAGTTTGCTGCCTCGAGACTAATAACCACCACGCACGTAGATTCTATTACTTCACAGAGTTCCATCATGGTGTCAGGAGAAAGATCTACGGAGGAGCTAAAGAGGCATCACCAATCACTAAAGAGAGCAAGTGCCAAAGTGAAAATGGATAGCATTGATTCAAGCCTCTCCCCAGGCCTGCTGCGTCTGGTTAATCAATCAAGGGACAAGGGCGCAAGTTCTTGGCTGAATGCGATGACTCTCGCAGACAAAGGTTTAGCCCTCAACAAGCAAGAATTCAGAGACTCGCTACGCTTGCGTTATGACTTGCCCTTAGTCGATTTACCAAGTCATTGCATATGTGGGGATAAATTCACCGTTAGTAACGCCCTCTCTTGTAAAAAGGGGGGGTTTGTAGAGCAGAGACATGACGGTGTACGGAACTTGTCAACGACATTCATCGACAAGATCTGCAATAATGTCGAAATCGAACCACGCCTCCAGCCCCTGGACAACGAGCGATTTCATTTGAGGAGCGCTGTTACAAGTTCTGAGGCAAGATTTGACATCAAAGCGGGAGGTTTCTGGGCAAGAGGAGTTACAGCATTTTTTGATGTTAGAGTTACGCACGTCACAAGTGTTACCAGAGCAAGCCGCAAGTGTTACCAGAGCAAGCCAACATCGGAAGTGTTCAAAGAGCAAGAAGAAGAGAAGAAGCGCAAGTACCAGCAGCGGGTGTTAGATGTAGAAATGGGTTCGTTTACGCCTTTAGTGTTTGGAACCAATGGCGGAATGGGAAATGAGTGTCAGCGGTTCTTAAAGCATCTTGCAGACAAGATAGCTCAGAAAGACACCGAGCCTTATCATGTTGTAATCAATTGGCTCAGGACACAGATCTCCTTTGAACTCTTAAGATCGGTACATGCATGCGTGAGAGGTTCGCGAACGCCGTTTCGTAGCAAGATAGAGCAATCATTAGACTGTAAAATAAATGTCGCTAGTGCGGATATCTGAAATACGTGTCTATATGCTTTTATACTTGGGGCTTTTTATGGACACTGGTTTAGCCGTCATTAGTATAATTCGATTGTATGATCTTGATATCTCTGCATAATGGAATTCTTAATTTTATAGAATTTTGAACTTTTGTTATTGATTATATCTATTTCCTCTTCTTTTATGTAAGGTTAAGTTACTTCTATTTTTTAGAATTTTTAAATGAATAGTTTTCTCTTTCTTCACTTATTATATATAGGATTGTTTTTGTTCTCTAATGAAGGAATTGTAGATAGTGTTTTGATGAATTGATTAGATTTTTTGTTTTTCATCATCATCATTATCCTCATTATCATTACTATTATTATTATTATTATTATTATTATTGTTATTATTAAATAAATATGGTTACTCAGTACTGCTATAGCAACGTAAAGAATAATGTGCTTTCTCGCTAATGCTAGCCAGCAAATCAGTGCTGCAACAATAATATTCACGACTCAAGTTAAAGGGACTGTGACACGCTTCTGCGCATATGAGGCATTTTGATTTCTGGTCTGGCGAACCTTTTTTCAAAGTTGGCTTTCGGTGAAGAAATCCTCGTCCATCGAACCTGAGAGGCCTGAGAAAGCTATGATATCAGTATTGAAGAGCAGTCTGTGCAAAAAAAATAGTTGGTTGGCTTGTGTGTTGTTTTGTAGGTCATTGTTCAATGTATTTTCAGTCCTTTGTATAACTTCATTTGGTGATTACACCCGTCCCCAACAAATGATATCACAAACTGTGCAGATAAGCTCAAGTTTTATTTATTTGCTGATTACACCAGTATCTTGTACAGTAATAAAAGCCTTAGAATTAGACGTAAATGTTGAGTTAAACAGAGAACAAACTAACTCTAAATGCTAAGAAATCTAATTATGTAATATTTCGGAATTTTAGAAAGTAGCTATCTTTTCAACCAACGATAAATATTTTTGACAACGATAAAATGTCATATTCACCATTAGAATGTAAAGATTATGTGAAATATCTTAACATACTTATTGACAAGAATCTTAACTGGAAAGCTCATATTTTTCTAGTTGCTTTTAAAATTAGTATGACCATTGGCATGATAGCTAAACTGAGACTCTTTGTACCCCGTTCTATTATTGTGAAGTTATATTATTCTCTTACTTCCCCTACCTCGCCTATGGAATTAGCTCGTGGGGTCAAGCGTCACAGCCAACATGGTGGATAAGCCTCTCCTTCAAAAGCGGGCTATACGTTTAATAAACTTTTCTCCAAAGTGTGAACACGCTATTCCTTTTTTTGTTAATATTAATTCTGGCTGTTCATTTTCTTTATGTCGAATCTGTTTCTTGTTTAATGTATGATGTCCAAAACAAGCTAGCCCCTGCTCGTATTCAAAATGTATTTACCCATGTCTCAGATATCCATTTCTACAACACCAGATCAGCAACTATACCGACAAATTTTATGTCATGTCTTCTCATCTTGAACAGCTAAAGAATTCATTTTCCCGATTTGGCGTGCGGCTATGGAATGCTTTACCTGAAAATATTAAAAAGTCTGCCAGAAGAAACGTATTTAAGAAAAAAATACATGAAACACTTATTAATATTTTTAAACAAGAGAATTTATACCTTACACCATCTTCAATTCTTGAAATAATTAAAACTTGTAAAACTGTAATCCTGTAACTACGACCAGTATAGTGAAATCCCTTTCTTTTCTCTCTTTTCTCTGTGTAGTAATTTTGTTTTGCTATTTATATTTGCAATTTTTCATTGCTTTTATCATTATTTTAATTTACTGTTTATTGTAATCTTTAACTGCTGCTTATTTGAAATCCTTGTAAGTAAATATGTATAGCGCAGAAACCCCTGTTTTAAGTTTAACTTAATCATACCTACCCGCCTCGAATAGTTTTAACTATTTGTGGGTAGGTACTATTCAAATTGTAGATATCTGTTTCTTAATAAAGAGTGTTGTTGTTTGTTGTTGTTGTTGACTATTTTCCTAGCATTAGAAAATGAATTTTACTGCCCAGTTTTCTTATTTCGACAGTGACTTTTGGAAGAAAACTCGCTGCCTGTTGTTGTTGTTGGAATGTAAGATTGAACGAGAACACAGGGAATAAACAGAGAAGACGAGTTATGTACTTATTGATTTCATTATCATTATGTTCTTTATTTCATTTTAATTTTTTTTGGTATTATTCTTATTATGATTATTACTATTATTATATTTGTTTATATATTTTTTATTTATTTTTAATATTTTTGTTTTTTTATTTTTTTACTATTGTTTACTTTTATTATATAGACACGAATGTTTTGCTGGAAAATATACCACTCGTAAAATTCATAAAAACTACATCCGGGACCCGAGTAGTTTATTTTCCATAATCTCACACGTGAGTTTATAGATGACTTAATTTCGGTCATTTCTCTCTGTTATTTTATCGATGTCTATTTGTCTATATAATAAAAAGAACATTACACGGCGGCTTGAAGATATGAATTTTATTTTCTCGTGACACTTTTGCCACTCGAAAATAAAATTCAAATCTTTGTGCCACCGTGTAATATCCTCTATCTATTATTAGAAATTTTCATTTTTTAGTTTATAGACAGTTGTTTACATTTGCTCTGTTAAAAACCACCAGACCACCAAGAAGTCTTTTTTAACTATAGTTATACTAAATTTGTATTTAATTTTCAATTTGAGAAGAGTTTAATAAGGTATGTTTTTTTATAATAATAATAAAAACAATTATTATTATTATTATTATTATTATTATATGTTATATCATTTTTTTTTCTAGTTACCAAACTCTCTCATTCGACTGAATCGTTTCTCATTATTGGCTAATTTAGTTTTTTACATTTGTATCAAATTTCCAACTGCTACTCGTCGTCTATAATACGACTCTCCGACTGTTCATTAACCCCCCTGAAGAAGGAAGGCTTGTCTGTCCGAAATATCGGGAACCTCAAGTCGCTTTTCTCTTTGCCGTTTTGTTATTTATGTCTTTATTGATATCTGGAGGTCTGGGACCAAGATGATTAATTCGGAAGTGCGCACGCCTCAAGCCACAATAGGGATTGCGTTTTTTGCGAAATGAAGTAGTCACGGAAATCCGTCGTGTACAAACACTGTTAGCTGCGAGACGATGAAACGGAAATGCTTCGGTCACCAATATGAACAAATTAAAATCAACGATGCTGAGTTTCCTTTCATTATACGACAACAAATACAAACTACAAGTACGAACGTATATCATTTCGGACTCTCTTTCAGCAAGTTAGTGTGAGTAGACTATTTCACCGATTTCTTCGCCTAGCGTTTTGCCGTTTTTAAGAGCAGCAACCATCAAACAAATTTAAAGCGTTATGCTTAGGCGAAGGGCTCTTGGGCTTAGCCTAAACAAACGTTAGAAGAAGAAATAAAATTGTCTAATTAATACAGGACAAACTGCTCTTTATAGCACCATTGATAAAGTTTTGAACAATTTTAAGCTTCTTTACAACACTGTTGTCAAACGCCCAAATGTTCATTACAGTAAGATACGCCACTTATGTGTCAGTCCTCTATTTATTGTTTAAAAAATCCTTTTGTTTAGTTACTCGCCGGGTCATTTGACATGGCCTTAAATGCAGCGAAGCGGGAAGGCTCTAGAAAATTGGCGGGCTCGCCGCATAATCCATTACGAAAACCATCAAAAATTAATTTAGCAAACAGAAGATTGTGAAAATTGAAAAGGAAAAAGAAATTAAAGATTTAACTCGCGTCATGGTGAAGAATTTTGCGGACTCTTAATTCGCTCTTTCTCTTAGATACTTATTAGCGCGCAAAGGTCCGAAAAGTTGAATAAGGTATCAAGATTAGTCACTTTTCTTCTTAATTGAAGAAAACGTATAAATTAAAAGTAAGACAAATACAATTGCCGCTTGTACACTCTTTATAATTATTGCTTTAAAACTCTGTCTTGTTGCATCCAATTAAAAATCAGTTAGCGTTTGAAAGGAAATACATTAAAGATAGATTAACTTTAACCGTTGTATAGAGCAGTTACTGAACGGTTTGTAAAGTGCCTGTTCTTATAAGAGCTGTAGTTGTGAAGTCGATATTAAGACATGTTCTGTTTATGTACAGAAAAGAAACAGAGACAAATTTGTGTTTTGTTTGTCAGTTTACACTGCTGTGAAATAAGAAATGAAGGCAACTTTCTTCATTGCCAAGTAATGCAAATTAGGAGAAAAATGAGTTTTAGTGGTGTCTTAATTTGGATCTGGTGCATGGGGGGTTTTTATTGCTCGAGTTTTGTAAAGTTAGTGAGCGTCAAGATTCACGTGTTTGTATTGTAATAAAACGCGTTTCAAATAATACGGCTTTGAGAAAACGACTTGCGGGTTATGTACAAAGTAAAACTGCTAATCTTTTGTGTTTTCGGCATTTTTTGAAGTTCTTTCATATGACAACCAAGCATTACACAAGTGATATGGTGTCGGCTCATTTTGCTTGTCGGTCGATCTTTTGAGAGCTAAGCAACTCTGGCAGGTCACAAAACAAGTCCATAGAGTAATCCGCAAATTATTCCCACGATGTAAAGCAAAATTTAGTCTTCATTTATTCCTGACGCTTCCAAATGCTGTCATGTGGTTTGACAAATCGGTAAATAGAGACCAACTCTCAAACATTGAACGTTCTGTTAACTTTGTAACAAGTCAGGAGAATGATCGGCAGTTTTATGATATATGTTTGAAGACGGTTTATGCCAAGTAAACTGGCGCCGAAACTATCACAAAGACTGAAGTTTACCGTTTGAAACTTAAACAAAAAGGTATTTAAGGCCTAAGCTTTGACTAAATTATGACATAATAGGTTCTTTTTCTGCTGAAGTTGTTTCAATTTCTTTCTCAAAACCTATTGATACCTCGCGTTCAAGATGGAAAATGCTAATTTTCAAATATATTGAACTTGTACCGATTTATGTTCACAGTGCGATTCAG